CTGAATCTGAATTTCTTTCAAGGACATTTGCAATACTTTTAAAAGCTATCTCAACTCAGAAATCAGACCACAGAACAGGTGACAGCTAGGTTTTTAATAATTGAGCAGTGTGAAACCTTTTACAGGTATTCGACAGAAAAATACAGAGAGTGAGAAAGAACTGAAAAGTCAAGGACGAAGGAGTCGCCGTCGTCGTCGTTGTCACTGGAGGAAATTTCCATAATGTTAAAATTTAAAATTCTATTCTATTTCTGACACAGAAAAATGGGGAGGATAAATTCTTATCGCAAGATGTTTGAAAGAGGGTTAGTAGGATTTTCTTGTCCGTGTTTCATAAGTGAAGAAGAATATCTTGGACGAGAGCAAATGCTGATTGGTTGTATATTTATATTATGCGGATCGTATCTTGAAATTTTTTATAAAAATTTCACACTCATGTTTATTGCAATTTTAAATTTTAAACGCCAAGCTATGATCGTTGTTAAGAGATGTAGATTTTTTCAAGTTTAAGATTTCAAACCCATTTATGAACATTGATAGTTAGTATATATTAACTAATACATGGTGTGACCAGTCCACTCCCTCTTGCACATGCTTGTGAAATGATTTTGTAGTGGGCATTATTTGCCAGATTAAGCCTGACTCGCATTTTCCATTGTTCTGGAGTGTGCCACTTTTTGGCAGTTTCCCAACCATTGTTTTAAACTGGCCTGGTCACTATGCATTGTTGAAGCAATTATTGAAGCCTCTTTAAATCGAAGCATATTTACAAACAATTATTACTTGGAACAATTTTAGAAAAGTGTGTCAAATCATTGAAAAATCGCCACGACCGACCCCAAAGTCCTCGTTTTTCCAGATCAAGAGCACCATAGGTCAAAGATTACTTCATTGAGCGCGTGCATGCATGCAACGTCAACATTTTTTCATTTTTCTTTGAAAATAATCATTTCTAATAAAAACGATCAAGGGCGTCCTTGAGTCATCTGCTGTCAGTGTATAGGAAAGTATATCCAGTGAGAATGACAAACGACTATGTATATATTGACTCAACTGAATAAGGGTTCTTGCCCTTCAAGACATTCACAAGGCCGTTGCAAAGGCATTAATTTCAATCTGGAGTAAACAACCAAAAAGGTCAACAATCCCAGCAATTCTAACGGGTTACCTTCTTTGACAACTGATCACATAATGGACGTATTTATTTATAGGGGGAAAATACAGTACAAATGATCATTGTACGTAGCCAGGTTTAGGTGGATACGTATTAGCCATTAATTGCCTAGAATTGTTGGAATTGAAATTTGAAATTGAAATTGAAGGATGTGACCAGCGGGGAAAAGTGTTTTAGAGAGACTACTACATGCTAGTACTACAACTGAGGAGTTGAACTGACAGATGTAACGTAGTTAGTGAGGCTTCACAAATGAGTAATAAAATCGGGACAGAAGTTGGGAATAGTTTGATAATTGCTGGGCGAAATAAAGGGTGGATGGACGGACGGACGGACGGAGAAACACCCGGAAGGTATCCGTCAAAACCGAAATGATGAAACCTGGTGGACGAGATTTGACTTGATGCTATGGAGGCGAGGAGGTCTGTGGTTGGATTGAGGCCTTTGATAAGGTCTTGTCAGTTGCACATGTGAAGAATGCACTTAATTAACCGGACTTGTACACTGCTCTTTCGAACAACCAGTTCGTGTGGGATGCATTGTGTATGTGTGCCCTGGAATTAATTAAGCCTCACCTCACCTGCAGCCTCCTCCTCTTGTCCTCTAATCAAAGTCAGATATCATCAGTATTGAACTGAACCGCCGTGTGCCACATATGTACAACATGGGTTTTCAAATTCTGATTTTACAAATTATACAACAGATTCGCAAAACTAAAAGTCAAAGAGAGCAGAATTGAGAGAGTGCATATTATTCAATGGGTGGAATTCCTGAGGGTGAATTCCTCTTTGGTTTGATGATGGTCTCCTCCTCGTCGTTCGTCGACGACCACCCCGTTCACCAGGCAGGTAAACGCCACACAAACCCCAAGCTATACAAAAATGATGACTCAGAGGCCAGCAAATATGTTCCACTTTGAAAGTATTCATTATTAGTGGTGGTCAAAGCAATGAATGTGAAACGGTTGCAATAAATGATAACCAGGTTCAAAATTCAATATTTGACCACGTACAGAGAGAGAGATGCTACATGAAATGTCAGAAACCTCGAATTGTATTTGATACAAAAGTGAGTAAGAAAATTTAATTAAAATTTTGTGCAGTCAGTTGGATCAGAAAAACCATAAATAGCATTTAATATTTTATCACTAATTAGTTTTGTGTCCTATTTGCCAACTCATTTTATTGAAAAATGGGTTAAACACGCTAGAATTTTGTCATAAATGTAGCCACACATGCTTCATCATGTGGATTATGACAAGAAGGCTGAAAAGTCGGAAAGCAATTCCAGCCAATACAGGTACCCGTAATTCGAAGGATATGTACTTTATTATAACGCCTGCGACAGATAAGTCTCAGTTATCTTTTCATTGAATTCAGACAGTTTTGATCATGGGAAATCCTTGAATTTATGCTTCACCTGCACACCAGCAACCCTGTAATGCAACTCCCATTTAAAACTTGGGCAGAATACCTCATGCTTCAAAAATCCGAACAATGTTTAATAAACGGTTCAGCATACAAATGGCCCCAGAACGCAAATACTTGGCATTGCCATGCGTTCACACCTCACATTTCACAAAAGCCTTCCTTTACTACACCATTTCATAGCGTTCTATTTACACTCTGGAGCATTTATCTAGGATGAGGCAAATCTTGTGAATGATTCAAAAAATGTGGTGTGAAATATATCTGGGTTTTAAAAACACTAGATCTGCATGAGAATGCACGTTGTTTGCGAATCGGATTACTACGAGCGGCAGAATAAGTGAAGAGAATGAAAGGACGATATTATTATGATGGCGATAATTGGCAAGGATAAAATCTGGACTGGAGCTGGTGATGACCCTGTAGCTGGAGGACAGGACACGCATCCTTCATAACTCATCATCATCAATATCATCCCTCACATTCGCAACACAAATCTCAAACAACTCTCGCCCTCGCTGGACCACCACCGACTAATGCCAACTTTTAACCACAGAACCACTATTATATACATACGCCATTAAATACTACATGTGTACATGCCATTACCATCACCATTTTTGCACTCTGCTACATAACTACACTGGAGCCAGTGACCCACTTTCCAGTGCGTCTCAATACATTTTACAGTGTGTCTGACTAATGATAATTCCACTGACAATGACACTCGCCAGGTCAAAGTCGCCGTCTGTCCAAAATCAGCATCTTAATTGCAGATATAATTCATCCGCAGATGGAAACATACTTTCGTGTCAAGGGTCAACTTGTAAGGGGTACTTTCCTGACCTTCTCACACGCAGCAATTAGCGAAATCTATATTTTATGTGGGCTTGTAGAGATAGAACTGTTATGTATGTACGTATGCCAACTTTTTTTTGTCCCGCATCATCTCCCATGAGTATTTTTTGCCTTCCTGGAACGTCCTTAAAACTTGACATTGCTCACAGTAACTGGCAGTTATTCAGATTTTATTTATTTTTGCAGAAGGTGGATTTGCGTAAAGAGTGTGAACAGCAGAGGGGTGACCTCGGCATATTGAAAATAAGAGAAAACGAATAAAACAAGTGTAGCTCAAGAACGCAACAAGTGGCAGCGTGGTGGCAGTATCAAGTGTATGGTTGTGATTACTATGGTGTGAGAAGAGCTGGAAAAAGATTGCTGGTCTAGATGACAAGGTCGTATTGTTATCCAGCTGAATCAGAGCAAGTTGAGGGTCAGCCACACTTAAATTAAATTTCACATAAAGTTAATACACATAAAGTTTCATTTAAACGATGGAGCTGCGGGTTGTTGAGAATGGGTGATGATTTTGATGATGGCAGAATGTAGTGGTTGGAGGATGATGATGTGGTGATGAAAATTTGTCGTGTGCTTCCATAATGATGAGGGTTAAGCAAAATGCGTGGAGTGTTGACGTTGATAATGGTGGCGAGCAGGAGGGTATAGGATTTCGCTCTACGCCATGATGTAGTAGTGGACCTTGGTGGCAATCAATGGAATAAAAAAGAGACGACATTGAGCCTTGAAGGGCGAGCAAAGTGTCAATGACAGAGTCAATAGTGAGTCTCTTGATCCACCACCAGTCTTATTATCATCACTGCTTATTTATCCATTAGAGACGTTGGCATTAGCATAAAAGACCACGAGAAGAGAGTTCCGTTAGTTAACCAAGTTAAACCACTGGACGATGATGGAAAGTTATGTAAGTAACAAGTTGGCAAACATTGTTACCATTTAAATCCACCGACCTTGGTCCGAGCCACCCAAACGTTTAGCAGTCGCTCATGTTGCTGCCATAATTTCTCAATTATTACATGATCATCGGCAATGATCGCGTAATAATTGTATCGACCAATTCAATTGTTGTTTTTTTAATTGGCAGATCTACATATTTCACCTTTGCATACTTTGTAAGTGGGCAGAAAAAGTCATGTGGAATAGGTCACGATGAATTCTTGCCTCGATTTTTCCATTATGTAGCTTTTTGCTTTGTAATAAGACAAAAACATGAAAAATCATTTTCCAACATTTCTCTTTAAATTCAAATTTCAAACCGGTCACAAATCATTTATTTTTAATATTGCTTCGAATTCTGCTTACTCATCCAATCTTAAACTAAACGCGCATCCAATTTTTTCCATGTGCACATGAATTTCTCGAGATTTCCATCGGAACTGACCGTGTCGAAAATCGTATGCATATGGGCGAAGACGATGCAGAATATTATGCAGCAGGAAGGAAGCGTGTCAGATAAACACAAATAATAAATAATAACAATGATAATACTGATGCAGTTTTTAGTACGTACGTAAAAAAAGCAGCATCTAAGCAACACTCACCTTCGAAAGTAACGTATATGTATTTCCTTTCAGTCACTCAATAATAATCCAACGAGTGATTATTTAACGCGTATCTCTCCACCACCACCACCACCACAACTCCAATACAAATGATGAGACAGACTCGAGACACTTTCACTTGCATATGTCGAGTTATAAGCGAGCAATTGTTTGGCTACGGTAATGTAATTCTTCTCTGAATAGAATGCAATGGCAAGGCTCAGGCCTTCCCTTCAGTCAATCCAATCCTCAATAACACAGGTAGCAGGAGCAATACATATGCAATTGAGTGACTGAGCACTGCAGTGTGTGTGTACAGGCAACAATTTAATGAGCCGAGGTAGCAGTCACCATAATAATAATAGCCTATGCGCCTACCTACCTACCAACACTGATCAAGGTGAGTCTCAGTTTAGACAAAAATGATAAATTTATCAAACTTTCGTCAATAATTTTGACCATATGAGAAACACACGTCAACACTCTTCACAATTATTCTTGAGACGAATCCATCAGATTCCATGAAACAACCATGGGCAGGAATTAGTGAAGTTTCAAATTCATGAATGGAAATATATGTACACGGAAAAAAATGTTGTCCTGCACTTTTTCACATCATCCACCCTGTCACACACTTTTAATTCCAGATAGGATTATTTCTATAAGGTACAAAAATCACGGAAATTTGGGTGGTAAAAAATCACGTAAAAATCACAATTTTTAACGTTTCTCAAAATTCCGAACGTTTCAAAAACGTGTTAAAAGGAAGAACAGGCTCTTCACCAAGTGGGAATTATTATTGTTAAGTAAGGTGAGTTGAGTTTTAAGAAGGCAATGTGCTCTGGGGAGTAAGACAACATTGGTTGCATATGGGGTCAATGTATCCAACTTCTTCAATTTCACTTCACATTGCAAACTAACCACCAACCGACTCGACAATTGTCTCGCAAACCACTTGCAATTCTCACACAATCACTCGTGTTCTATATTTTTCATGTGGTCATGACAAAATAATCAGTTCCGAACAAACGACCTGGACACAATCTTTCAGTATGTCACTAACGAAAGGGAAATTAAGACGGAAGTTATCAATCCCGTGTGTACAAACACAATCCAAAACGTCACAAGTCTCACTTTTCGGTGGGCAATCCCAGAAAGTGATTTTCAAATTCTCACAAATTTTTCAAATTTTTAAAATTTACTTGCATTTTTGATATCACATAATAAGCACGGAGTAGTATTTGTATATTTAATTTGTTTATTTATTGTTCTTATTGCCCGGCACGGATTCACTTTTTAACCCATGATGACAACCCCTTACTTATTTACCCAGGTCGAAGAGGGGCCCAGGGTTTTTTTTTCTTGGATAGAGCGAGATGATATCCCACTATTAAGGGTCCAATGATGAGCAAGTGAGAATTTGGGATGCCAAAGGAACAGATATCCGTGATGTTTATGGGAAGGGAACTGAGAGTGAACTAACTAAACGATTTGACTATACGTACAGCTACACATTCATATTCAGCCTTCTATCCTATTCTCCCATCACCAAAGCAGAAATCCACCAAGGTCTGCAGAGACCAGATTCTCTCTCCCCTCACTGTGCACACACGTATACCAAGTACTTGTGCATATCTGCGTACAAGCTTCCAATGCTGCAAACAAACTTGCAATTCTTTCGCGAATCCCATCCAATCTCCTCACACAAACAATATCTCTCGTAGCACTCGTATTATTATGTGAGGAGTTCGCATAACTAATAAACCAATTCCGAGGCCTGAAACTCACTTCCTATGTTGTGATGCCTACCGCTAATCTTATTTTTCAGTCCTCCCCCAAGTTCACTCAGTAACCTTGGCCTTAGATAGGTCAGTTTTAAGGAGTAATAAAGGGTAGGAGCCGGTGTGAGGGAAGGGTTGAATAAGCAATAAATTATACTCCACAAAGGATCAACGTATTCTAAAAGTATACACAAATTCGTCCATTAAACGAGAAGATGACCTCATAAATTGCACATCAAAATTAATACATTAATTAAAGGAGAGAATCATATTTTTTGAAGTATGCAACTTCATCAATCATTATTCAAATTCATTGTTTTTAATCAGAAATTAAAAATGACATCATTCCAATCGGGAAATGAAATTGAAGATTGAAGACGTGTACTAATTGTGTTCCTGAGAAATGTGCAGAGCTGCTGGCTGGCTGGCCATCAACATTTAATACTTATTTAGTATTGTCCGACTACAATGTGTGTGTACCTATGCCTATAGTCGGATGTATAAATGTATAGAGAGGAATTTCCAAATTGGTAAACGATTTTTTTTCATTGATGTGATTATAACAATTCATCACTGCAAGCAAGTTGCCTACGTTTGACTTTGACTTTGCTCAGTGAGACACCAACAAGAGTGGATTTGATGGCTAAGCAAAAGAAGGCAATGTCAATGATGCAATGTGCGCAATGCTCGCACATACTAATAATGCTGGTCTCACTTTAGTTGGTAATGAGACAAGGTAACCCTTCAGGTCGCATGCACGAGTCGTGTCAATCTGCACTAAATAGTGGCATAGGTATCGGTAATATATGATTTACGGCTTATTGTTCCCATTGTTTAAACAAACTTCAATCACTCGCTTGGTTAGATCTTTAGGAATCAAACTGTTATTTGTGGCAAAATGCTTTACTATTGGACAGAAATTTCGAAAATAAAATGCATCGTCAAGTCAAACGGTTTCGTTAGCATGTATCTCACACGATTTGTGCATGCTTTCTGAGAAGGTAGCTCAGATCTTAATTGCTGGGTTTGGTTGGTGAGTGAACTTGAAGGTCGACCTTCCCTTGAGTGAGGATTGTTGTCGTGTCACTGGTCTCAGTGTCACTGCCACCCTCAATGCAACAAATTATAACACATCGCATCTCACCAAACCAACATCATCCACTAAAACTTACTTGCTACCCTTCAGATAGTGGACCAATTTGCAAACAATTGTGCAGGATTACCAAGTAACCATCATCATCATGATAATGCTTAAATGTATCGTCTTCATCATTGTCGACGTTACGTAAGAAAATATCATCTTAATCGTCATGAGGAATAAAGGTTGATTTCTTACAAGTGTAGATTCTTAAACGAATATCCGGAAAAAATAACTTTCCCTGCCTGCAATAAAGCCGTATTAAAAAAAGACTACATATTAGTCTGATCTCCGTACGTATAGGTTTTCACTTTCACTGGGAAAAAACCAATAAAATAAAATTAAGAAGAGTAGAATGGATGAGATTTGAAATTACATGTCCATCTCGGGCTGAAATAATCTCTCTCAGAAACTGGTCGTGCAGGCAATAATGTGCAGGTAAGTCTTTGAACCCCATGGCCGAGGGGCATTAATATCCCGTTAGAATACTACTCAATACCACCACCACCACCATCACCGGACCCAAGATACCAGTTGGTGGGTAGTTATGTAGGTACTCCTTCTTTCTACGTCACTTTCCACACCGTTCCATGAGCAAAACCACGGCCATTCATACTTGATCCTTTCCTTTTGGATAATGGTGGTGCCGGTTCTTGCAAAAACTTGAGAGCTTAATTGTTATTTTGAAGAGCTTGATTGTCTTCTAGTCAAGTTTGTACATACATAAATTTAATAACATCGACAGGTATGCATATCTATTGGTCAACGCAACTTATGACCCTCCATTTCTCTATAAAATTAAAATAAGAACGGAAAGTTTGAAATTAAACGAGATGTACATATGTACGATCTTCATCACATCCCCCTGAGCAGAGCAACAGCAGCATATCAAATATCCGTCCTTGTCGTATGACTATTATGCGCTCACCTCTCCTTCCATGCCACAAAATAACTAATGATGATTGAAATTGTGGAGAAAGTTTAGTCGAGTTTCTCGAGTTGATCATTAAGTTGAGGGAGCGAGAGAGACGTTGCGAGATGGAATTTACGATGATGCTGATGATGCGATATGGGATAAATCTTTCCCCTGCTACGATATGCATTTCTTGTAGATGTTCATACACGAGTCTGTCATTGCACACATGCACCAACTCATCACCTACGTCTTGCTTGATCCTGTTCGTTAAATTCAAAGTGTAAGCGAAGAAGGTCAAGTTGACTGTTTGACTACCACACCCACTCGTTGGTAATGATACGACCACTGCTGCTACCTTATACATATGCCTTTTGTGGCCACAATGCGCCTTGCGATGGCAAATTATAATTCTGTCAATATGTGTGCATGTACATATACAATGTGTTTGATTGTTATGCATAAAGCCACGCTAGATAAACACGTTATACATAGATACAGATACTGGAAACAATTCAATTCCTTGTCTTGTACAGCCAACAATTGAACTGACCCTGCAATGAGCGATAGGAATTTTGCATTCTGTATGCAATTGAATTGTTTTTAAATGAAATATCACGACATTGTGCAGCATCGGAAGCACATACACATGTATTCGGTCGGAGGTGCAAATGTCACTCTACACCCAGTGTCTCTCCTCATGTGGAAAGTGACAATCATGCTTATGTACAGAGAGGTAACGTAACATTTGCTTAAAGCTTAGCACCGCATTGCATAATGATGCTAATGGTACAATTTGTAAGCCTGTTGCATTGTTGTAAGATCGAGGAGTGTTGTTGACTATGTGTCATTCTGTTATTTGCATTGCAGTTGACACTGTATGTCTTCCCTTCTAACGGTTGAAATCAAGTTTAAGGTGAAGAACTTGTAAATATTTGACTTTGCGGATGGATACACGTGTCTGGTTAAAAAATATAATATCTTAATTAATTTGTACCTTTACTTGAGCATTAAGCACTTAAAAATGTATATATATTTCTGCCTTATTGACATATATATTAATTTTAGTGCGACCTTTCTTTCCTTTCTTTCTGTCTTTGACCAACAAAAGGCCCATAAAGGTACAAGTACCACGCTTACATGTAACAAATGTGATTGACATATATAATATAAGGTCTCAAATCTGCGTACAACACAGTGCAATGAGATGTAACAATAATGTGCTAAAAATGTAATTTAGTAAAACACATTGATGCGAAGCTTTGTAAAAAAAGTAAGAGCAAAAGTCGTGCCATAAGTTACAAATGTGAAAATCGAAATCTCAAGTGATTCCTCTACAGCCTGCCAACAACAGCTCAGAATGATATCCTTTGAAGATAATCTTTCAAATAATTTGCATACTGTTCTTCATTCTTTCTTATTATAGTGAGCAGTCAATTTTTGATGTTCACTTAAGATTCCTATTTATTCATGATAATACGCATTTATCATGATGAAGCTACCACGCGGACTTTCTGAGATTACGTACAGGGAGCTTATTGTCAGTACTTCTGCGTTCTATCCCTGCACATCTACCGAAAATATGTATGACGTAATTCTTCGAAACGACACTATGCACGCATCAGCCCTTTATCGATAGTGCAAGTGAATCTATTTACAAAGAATCGACTTTTAAAGTCTGGTTCGCATCCGTCAGTTTGCATTTTGCTCTTCCACCACGACCAAGAAGAAGTCTTTTAGCATGGGAGATAAGAATTAAGATGCATCTTTCTTGAACATGAGCACTTGTAATTCGTCTTCTTGCGTTGGTTTGATAGAAGAGCAAGTAGTGAACCAGTGCTAAAATGGTGGTTGGTCCTGTGGTTACGCGCTGCTATATATGTAGACAGTGTTGTTATTTGATGTGTATTTTGTAGTCTTCATCGTATTGACTATGATCGGTCGTTGAACTTCTCTTGGCAACAGCAACTAACTTAACTACATTGCATACATTGCATTAACTTTACACACATTGCAGCCACCAACCATCCAACAACAATCCATTCATATCTATCTACTTTAATGCCGATGCATTCCTAATGTGTCGAGTCCGCACATGCAAACATACAATGTGCATGCGTCCTTTTACTAATAATTGGATACCAATGGGTTGTTATCAATTAATAACGACGTTCATAATTAGCCATTTCAAGTGTTAAAAATTAAACTCTTTCATTCTAAATCTGCATCACAATGTCTCATCTCATCAGCAGTCAAAAAGTCGCGTATAATGTAGCCGCCGTATGCAGACAACGATGCATTGTTCTACTTTACTGCGTACGCATAATTACACTGGTACAATTGTTTATAATTAGCAGAATAATTTCCATCTTAATGCGTAAGAAGACTGCGGAACTGCTCATGAATTGCTAAATCGGGGTGCGTAACTTGGTGCAATTTCGACACGTGTATTTAAATTTGCTGCACAATTATTACGCAAACTGCAGAACATAAATTCTTATGGTTGCATGCGGGAGCAGAGTGCTCGGCTGGAGAAGGAAAATATTTCCTCACTCGATCCTCCTCCAATTAATTATCTCCTTGTTTTCAGCGATGGTGGTGGAATGCATAGTAAATATTTGAGAAGAAGCTCTTCATCTCCAGCATCCGACTTGACCCGAGTTGTTTATTTGGTTGGTCACGAAATGTAATCCCGGAAGATGTATCTTTCAGCAGCCACGAGTGAGGAAACCGTGGGATAAAGTTTTCTCCTCTCTGCCCATCTCTAGTTAGTCGGAATTCGGTATCTGGACCAGTGGTTGAGTTGGTCCATGCAATTTAGGGCATTTGCATGCAAATATGAAATTAGGATGTGAACTGCAACTTCCGCTCATGACATCATTGTAGCCGAGTTACGTGTAAGTAGCAAGTAGATTGTCTGTTATTAAGAGTTTTATATTAATCCCATGAGTAAATTTGAGAGAGAAACCCTTTCCGATGGATCAAATGGTTTTTTGAGTTGCATTGTTCTTCGGGGACACGAACCATTTCTGCACTGCATGCAATTTCTCTCAGATCCAGTTCCCATATCTTTTTTGGTGCATCCAATTATCTTTAAGAACGATTCGGTGAATAATTGAGCCACTGATGCATTGCATGTAATGCCTTATTTTTACTGCGGTAGTGGTGCTTGGTCATGCAATGTCGTTCGTTCTGCCGAGCACTTGTTTTCTTTAAATGACGAAGAAACGACATGTGATGCACGAAACGTATGTAGGTACATATGCAAAAGAGAGGTGATTGATTTTCCTTCATACGAGTAGACACAAGCCCATAGTGTTCATGCATAGTTTTGAGCATTTTTAAACCACTGAAGAAATTTCCTTACAAAAATTTATACATTTATTTTCAACTAATTTGAATTTCAAGTTATTACGATGATGACGTAATGGCTAAAAAATCAAGCCAAGTAAGTATGCTTGCATTAAATGCCAAGTGGGTATCAGACTTCATCACACGATTTTAATAACCTGAAGTTTTTAGCAAAGCAAAATGAATTAAAATTTCAGTTGGATAAGCAGAAATAAGTGGTTTAAGCAAATCGCTGCAACGTTGTGGCAGCAGAAAAGTTACTGACCTTCCGTAGCAGAAGAGAGAGTAGATCTACTAACAATGAGGTAAACTCAACGTGAGTTTAGAATCTGAGACTGCCAATTAACAATCAACCAGCCAACCAGTCAACAATCGACATTCATTCTGATACACTTTGATGCTCTCCTAACAATGCATTCTATAAATACACTACACCCTTTGCTCCTCATATACATACATATGTAATTGTATGTATGCACATATGTATAAATACGTGAACTGCAAGTCTGAACCCTTGGCATTGCTATAACTCAACTTTGCTCGATAATATTGGAAACCTTGTTTTACATAATTCATTCTACTCGCATTTGATTGTTTCCCATTGTCATACTTACTTTGTTTGATTTCAATTTTAATTCTTTCAAATGGCGTAATTGTTTTAGAGAAATGGAGTTCCGACTAGTTTTTGTCTCTGGTGAGATCCATACTAAATGCTAAAATTGGCTTAAATGAGCAATCCACAAATATATTTAGTAATCCATTGTCACATGTCGTATAGTATGTTCATTGTGACAATAAAACTTGTCAATTTAATCCACTCATTCATCGGTTGTCGCGAATTACTCGTACTTAATGCTTAATGTCTTTTGTACTCGGAGCACATTCATCATCGTTTTATTCGCACGATTTTCCTTGTTGATATTCTCCATGTCAATTTTTAAATTGAGCATGTTCGACAGCACTCATTTTTGACTGCTACATATGTACATGCATACTTATAATAAATGGTGTAAATAAATAACAGTGTGACTGGATGAATTGTGCTCACTCTGGATCAAGAGATATTTACAGTAATTTTCATGTTTTTTGCTGCCATTAAGCATAAATTACGTGCATATTATTTGGTGGACGTGAATACGAGCTGTATGTAGTGAGTGCACTTTTTGAGCAAAGTCAATTGCATATTAAACACCAAGTTATAGTGTATTTATATTAATTCAGTCTCAGTCTCAAACGTGTTCAGATAATGTTTAGAAATTCTGCTCTTTTAAATGTTGATATTTCAACAACACAGTTGAAAAATGGTTTTTGATGTCTCGTCACTGTATTAATTATGTCACTGTTAACTTACAATGAAAGTCTTTCACATGTATAAATCCGATATTGGTGAGAGCTATTTTATTTTGTTCGCTACAAAAAACTAAGCAGATTCCACTATTTTTCCGAACGTGAAAAATCACCAAAATATTCTTAAGCCAAAACCTTATTTTTTAATGTGGTAGCTTTTCTATTTTTGGCAAGATTTCAAAAATTTCAAAACATGCATTTCAAAAAATTTTAATTTTGCCTAGGATTTCGTGAAGTTAAAAAAGGAGCAAAAAATCCAAAAGCTCCAAATTTTCGAAAATACATTTTTGAAGAATTAAGCAGCTAATTCTAAGAATAATAGTTTTTCTAATTCTTTATTAAATCAAAATTGGAAATTTTACAGAGTAACTGCGTACAGTATAAAATTAAAATTGGTCCCATCAAAATCAGAGTTATTCACCTGAAAGATTTACATTGCCACAAGCTGACGTAAGTACTTATAATATTTAAATTTATCAACATTTATATATAAAAAAAAGTGGTGAGTTTGTAACATGATTATCCGACAGGCTGCAAATGTGGACTGTTGTGGGGACCAAATCAACTCTCGAGAGGTAAAGGACAGATATCAGACACGGAAACAAATTGCAAACAATTTACAAATCCAATCTCCAGATAAATCTGCACTAGTATGATAACGGTTGGAGAGATCATCATCCCCACTACACTTGTAAATACATATGTACTTATCACTCGAGAGCGTATTATTATTAGTGTACTATCATCGTCAGCTATGCTTATGTGTAACTATGAACCCGCTCAGATTATTATTTTTTTCAGTATAACCGGGCCAGGCGGAGTGACTAATTGATCATTTCATTCCATGACCATTTACCTCCTCTCCAAAGGGCAAACCTCAATTGCACCACCACAAAAGTGCATTTCCTACTCGTCTATATGCACAAATTTCGTCTCCAGTCCCGTCATTCACCGTCATATTCACAACCATTTTATGACATGAACATACTTTTTAATACACCAAATCTCAGCATTACGATCTTATTACCAGGTCAAATAAAAAATACTTTGCGCTATTGTCTTCAACATTTTTTAAGAACATTAAGTACAATAAGCAAACATCACAATATACGGTTCTCATAATTATTACGTCTCCTCCTCCTTACCACAATTCATGTCAAGTGACATATGAAACCATGAGGAACGATTATAATAACATATTTCAAATATCAAGTGGTGGCAGACATGGCTTATCAGCAGCAGCAGCAGTAGAAAAAAAGCCCAACTGCTGCAGCAACGTTTTTCTCCGAGGTAAGATCAGCCACACCCACCCAACCCACCAAGCACGCGGGGATAATAAGACGCCAATGTGCTTAATCTGCATACACACATGAGCACGAATTGGCTAATGCCTGGTAGCAGCAGCAGCAGCTTTACAATGAAGTGATTCCTTATGGAATGGCATTGGCGTTCATGTGGATGCGTGCGTTGACTCAGGAGGGTTTTTAATAGCAAGCAGAGTTCAGTGCACCCTCCGTCATAATAACAACACAACTCCAACAACTCGGCTCTTTTTGCACAGTAACCACCACCATTTTTGCAACCGCACAGCACACTACGCCACCATTGCATTGGGGAAGCATAGCATTTGGAGGAGAAGATAGCGAGTGAGTGCCATTTATTATCCAGCAGCATAAAATGCACGCACTTTCCAGCTCCGATAGACCAACCAACAAACTAATTGCTACACTCGCTTAATTGATGTTGCCCCCACCACTCAACTGATCATGATGAGGATGATTATATCCCCTCCAATTTCTGCATTCCTCGCACACTGCACTTTGCCATTAGAAATGTGAACCTATAAACTGCAGGCCAAGGATGGAATATGCATGTAATTGACAGATTTAAATTAGTCAGGAGCATATTAACACGAGCAATGTCAGAGCTAATCGTAAGTCAAACTGGAGAAACTAATTGGATGAAACTCATACAACTTAATAAGTAGTTCTCATTTGGGATCAATTTTCCTGGAAGTGAAAGCATTTCATCACGTGCCAATATAGCTAGTACATGGTACAAATAGATCCGTGATATGCATATTACACATTAGTGATTACGAATTAAGGTAAAAATGCCATAATCCTTGCGGTTCAGCTTGATTGATGCATCTCTACCCCACCACTTATGTAACTCCATCGTCTGCACTCGTCTAAAAGTATGGTCATTTTTTTCGGGACAGAGCAATTCCGTCACTTAAAGCTTGCTGCAGCTCTGAGCATATGAAGAAATCAAGTGGGCTTGAGAGACAAATGTGCATGCAACCAAGGAACGAACAACGTATAGACGAGAGCATAGTTTGGAATGACGCAAAAAGAAAAAGAAAATGATTGTGGTGTGGCAGTGGTAAAAGCTGGGTTGGTTACCCGGGTGGATGAATGGGCGGCGGGCATTAACTCCTCGGTGTAGTATCACCACCACCACCGTGCTCAGTGTGCTGAGTGTGTGTAAGTGCGTGAGGACGTTGACCAGGAGGAGAAAGTTCCGGGAGATCTCGGAACACCCGGGTATTCAACCCTACTACAGCACCATGCGTCCACCGGGTTCACCGCCCTGGTCCGGCCTTGCCAAAAACTACTACACCACACAGCTCAATCTTCACCTTCAGCATGGCCAAATAATATAGCGAGCTTGCTTTTGCTCGGTTGGTGTTGGGGTTGGAAACATTGATCCCCCTTTTCGCAATCTCATCACACAGATACCCAGCTTCGATGAGTACACAACATTTACTCCCAACTACTTAGCTTTATTACCTTTTCGTCAGGACGAAAAGTTTCAAAGGCTCGTGGAATAAAATGGTATTTTCTCCAAAAACACTCAATCATCAGAGTTCATCATTCCATCCAACCACCACCAGCCTCGTGTAATTCGCGTGCATGCACATGCCTCAATTCAAATGGGAAAAGCAATGTGGTGCATTGTGCACGTCGTCGTCGGGTAGGTGAAAAGACGCCTTTATACCTTATTTAGACTAACCACATGCTACACATACACTTCTGCCGCTTATGTATGCGAGTAATATTAATAGCACTGTCTATATTTTTACAAGAGTCTATCACTTTTGGTAGGAAAACAGCTTCTTTTTCGGTGAGTCGTATTATGCAAACAGTATGCAAGTAATTACGTATTTGTCCTATTTTCTTCAAAGTGTACATCACGGAAATCCTGTTCATATTGAAATTTTGCTCCCACTACAGTGTTACAGTCAGGCAATATACATTGTGAAATAAAAATTTAAAAAATGTCCCAAAAATGTAACGATCGGGTAACGGTGACTTGTGGTATTTCCATTTTTATTTCTAATTCTTTCAATTTTATGCCAATATTTAAATTAATTGGCGTTAGTTAGACGTCGTAACATTGTGGTAGGTGAATTTTTAGTGTTTTTTTAGTGTGGATTCTAGTGGGTTCTAGAGGTTTATTTTCAGCCCGCATGTGCCACTCATTATTACCAATTGGTCCAGACTTGTAGTAGTTTAAATAAGTACGTAATATTGGATTTACAACAAACCGATGTTAATATTTGTGCAATGTCCGTACATGAATTTGAGCACAGTGCTTTAAGATTTTTTTAGAGCAATACGTCGATGATTCCATGTAAAAGCCGCACTTTCATCTTATCTTGAAATATAGCCCACTTACTTATGTTCTCCACATTTTTGTGGGTTTAATAAACCAAGAAGAGAAAAGTATGCATGTATGGACTTAAGGTAGGCCATGGTCTGCTGTCTCGTGATGGGTCATTCATCCAGGGAACAAAAACCCCGAATTTCGTTCGATCACCTCCCAACGCCCATGCATCATCTTCATCATCCTCACATCAAGCCGGGCAGCAACAAAAGGCGGGTTGCAGGAGGGTTCCCGTTGTTAACGGCCCATGAGAGCCAGTGGTGCAGTCGACAGTGACTAATGTTCCGTCACATGCATCTATTCGGGGGAACTTGCCAATTGCAAACGACTCTTTCAACCAAGTTCATTGGCCCAACCTTTCTCCACAACACGCAAAACGTACGCACCTATTTCTCACAGTTTACGTAATCAAAGGAGATGAGAGTGAGGAGTTGCCACTCATTACATCATTTTTTCCGATGCAACTATATTTTTGGAAAAGTGAAAGCAAATTAGTTTGATTTTTTAATATGAAAATGGAGTAATAACCACAATTCTTATTTCTAATCGCTTTCTCCTTGTCCCAGATAAATAAAGCGGAATACTGCACTTCGTCCACTTTGTGTAATTTCACATGTCACATACTTACTTAAGAATAGACAAGAAAGTGGTTATTGAAAAGCGAGCAGCAGTTATTATTGCAGTTACATCGAAAAGGTAGCATTTATTCCTCGTAATATCCAGCATTTAGAGAAACCTTTCGTTGGCCTGAACAGCTCTGTCCAATCCAAGGTTATCGTAAGCACTCGAGTAGCGAGTAGGGAATAAATGCAGCTTAAAATATATTCCTAAAGTAATTTTCTTAAATTCTGCTAACATTTCGAGCAAGTCGAATTATTGCAATTTTAAAATCCTTGAGCAAATCTATCCTTATCGTCAAGACACACATTTAACTGCTGGAACCATGATAAGAAAAAACGGGACCGGAATTTTTAGGAAAGCAAAAAATTTATGTAGATCCTTCTAATGTTTCAACATTGGCCTTTACCTCTGCGTATGGATTTAGATGGGCGGATTCCCAGAGGGAAGGATTGTCTAGTCTGAGATAGAGAGACAGAAGATCAAGACGTAATCATGCGGTGAGATATGCAACAGTGTGGGTGTAAGCACATCAGAGTTTGAAAAGTATGAAACATTTTTGGCAAACCATTCGATACACACACATTTTTCGCACTTTTGTCACCCTGGCGTAGAATAAAAATAAAATTGCCGTCCCATTTACACACGTGTGTGTTTACGGTTTCTGTCTCTTGCAATCTTATCCAACCACGGGTAAGAAAATACACATGCGTGTGGTTGAATTTGCTCTTAATCTATGCAAAGAAAATATCAAATCAGACAAATGGAAAGTGCTTTCGATTCATGCTTAGCCATCCAATTGTTTTTGATTACTCATTAAAGTGACGAATTTATATGTTGAATTAAATTCCAAGCCCTCGTTTTATTAGCACCACCACTCACTCACACGCAGAGTAGAACACAGCAAACTTGAGATGAGACAGTTAAAAAAACATTACGCAAAATTGTGTACGATATGTGCATACATATTCTATGTATCCGTACCGCGGTAACATGATGCCGACATGGATGCTGTATGTGGAACACGTCAATTCGGATTTTGGAACAGGTCATTAGAATAATTTTGTTTACAAACATCGGTCAAGTTCATCCAGCTACTAATTTCCACATCAACAACAGCACCACTCTCCACTGGTGATGCTGACCCAAATGAACTTAATAGAAATTCTCGAACCATTCTTGTATCTCCATTGTGTTACGGGTCATTACCAATTGTTGTATGTATCCGATATAATTACTGAATAGACTATCCTGTACGGAACAATAGTTCTTTACTGCATACATACTACGAACCATGAGTTTCACAATCTGAGCAAGTGACCCAATTAAATGCTGTCTCTTCTTGATGTGAAAATAATACTTGAACCAAAATCAATTAAAGGATGGAAGGAAAAAAAATCGGAAAATGATAAACAACTCATTACACACACACATATGAAGAAAGAAAAAAACATAAATAAATTTAGTGAGTAGTTGTGTCAATACCCAGAAATTTTCCCTGATATTGCATCCAGCTGTCAGCATTTTCCCATGCAGTTGTATAATTTTTTAGTAAAAAAATATCTCTCATATTAACACACACATACTGCAATGCATCTTGTGAATGATTCGCGTTAATTCAAACCAACTCTAGTGGTGCATGGGTTTGATTATATTATTTTATCCTCGCCGCAATAGTTGTCCATGTTGGGTGAAGGAGAATGGAGGGAATAAATAGAATGCATGCAAGTAAT